CTAAGTGTAAAACTAGCAAACAGTGGCGGACCCAAGATTTTTTTCTACCAAGGTCAATATATAATTTAAAACTATTGTAAAATTTTTTTTTAGAAAAAGTCCTTAATAAAAATATAAACCATTATACAAAAATACTCTACGATCTTTCATACGAGTATTTAATTGTTTTTTTTCGTACCGATATCACTTGTAATAGTCTCGAACACTTCTTTCTCGATAAACAAACTTAACAGTCATTTAAAAACTAATCTCTAATTCGTTAATCTCAAATTTTTAGACATAAAAATAGCATAATTAACACGCATTTAGAAAAAACAAAAACGTCAAAATTCATTACTAATAAATTATAAATGAATTATTAGTCAAATCGCAAATGTAGACTATAAAAGAAATCTACACTATGTAGACTTCGTGTGTAGACTTCATCTGAACTGTCGGTTTAGTTTTGCAATTAAGGCATATTCACGTAGACTTCTTTTGCAGTCTACACAACAATTTGGGTTATTTTTGCTATTCACCAAAACTTTGATTTTATAAGTGTAGACTTCGTTTTCAGTCTACAAAAGTTTTTGGGTTAGTTTTGCAATTGACAATAGTTTGAATTTTTGCAATAGACTTCTTTTGCAATCTACACAAATACGCAGAAAATCATTTTTCAAAGTAGCCTTCTTTTATAGTCTACAATCAAAAGTAGGCTTCGTGTGTAGATTTCGACGTGTTGGGTTAGATTTGCAAGTGACTATCTTTGTAGACTGCAAAAGAAGTCTACTCTGTAAAAGACGTTAGTTTTGTGTTTGACCAAAATCTCGATTTAATTAAATAGTAGACTTCTTTTGCAGTCTACGTAGATATTTATCCGTAGTCAAATTTTCCAGATTTTAGTCAAACACAAAACTAACCTATTTTCTCAAAGTAGACTTCTTTTGAAGTCTACAATAAAAGTCAAAGTTCAGTCAAATGCAAAATTGACCTCAATTTTTTGCCAAAGTAGACTTCATATAAAGTCTACTGGCCGTAGACTTCACATAAAGTCTGCTCTAAAAAGTCAAATTTTTGGTCAATTGCAAAACTAACCTCACTGCAAGAAGACTTCATATGAAGTCTACACACGGTTTTTGTTTCCAAAGGAAAACGCGTAGACTTCACATGAAGTCTACTTTGGCTATTTTCAAAAATAGTCAATTGCAAATTTAACTTTTCCGTTGAGTAGTATACTTCTTTTGAAGTCTACTTTCGCGAAGCATATCTGAAAACAGGCTAAAATCGAGTAAATTTACATTTTTCTCGCCGTTGAAGCTCGTTTTTAGCTTCGCCAACCACCTGTAACTTTGAATCTCACCGGTATTGAAGTAGCCCAAATGTCGTTATGCAAGAACCATTAAAATTCATTAGGTTATGAGACAAAGAATTTTGAAAATGAAAATTAGAAAGGTTTTTGGATGAAATTGAAGAGTAAATGAAAGATAAGAGGCTATGAGCTCAAATATTCAGCATTTAGAGCTCAAAAATCGGTTGGGAAAGCATTTAGACCTTCAAATTAGTTGTTAATGGTGGTTGAGAATATTGAAGAAGATGGCATTTTTGTAAATATGTTGAGATCTTTTGGTTTTTGTATCGTTTTGCTAATTTCAGTATTAAAAAAAAAATTAGAATATAATGGCATTTTGTGAGAAAGTGGCAAAATATGAAGAGGGAAAAAAATTGGGTTACTTTTGCATTTGATCCCAAATTTTAGGTCATTTGTGAAACAATCCCTTAAAATATAGAAACATGCATAAAGATGACTATAAAAAGAAGAAAAATATAATAGAAATATGTTTAAACTAGCTAGTATAGTTTAGTGTGAATTAAATGGGATTACATATTTCGACTATAGATGACGATATAC